GTATCCTGCCACCATCAACACACACTTGGGGTATATCTAGACTACAGGCTTTTTTGATAGAGGCTTTGTTGACAGATAGTGTCGACAAAGCTTCTGTCGACAAAGAGCATCTAGACTGCATCCAGTTCTGTCGACAAAGCAAGCCGCTTTGTCAACATGAGAGTGTAAACACAAAGGACAGTGTAGATGCAATAACACCTTCTGTCGACAAAACTCTGTCGACAAAAGGCGTTATTCCTTGTAGCATGAGGTTTACCGCCGTCGACAAAACTGCCGAGTTCTGTCAACGTTATGTAGACGCAGGTATGCAAAAGTCCACTTTTGTCGACAAAACCCTGTAGTCTAGACTCTAGACACACCCTTGGTGAACACTGTGAGGACTGTAGCAAGCCCAAAGGGGAGGACCATGAACTTGTACCTCCTGTGAAGTGAAGGAAGCACCTGTGTCCCTTGAAGATTGAGCTGTAGAAGTACGCGTCCTTGAGGTTGAGGGTGGCATCCAGGCTGGGGGAAGCCAGTGAGAACATGCAAAACTCAAGTCTGCGTAGATGGTGGTTCAGGCCGTGCAGGTCAAGAAATAGGATGTCGCCTTCCCTTGGCTTTTGGGATTTAAAAATAACAGGAATAAAAGCCCTGGTTTCCATGCAAGGGTGGGACCTCCTGCACTGCTCCCATGCAGAGCAATCCTTCCACCTCCTGTGTGAAAAGAGTCTCGTGAGATGGGTCCCGGAAGTGGGACGGGGAAGGTGGGTGGGAAGGTAAGGTAGCGGAGAGCTGGTGGGGGTAGCCCAGACCTGTTGTGGTGAGGACTCAGCCATGCGAGGTGATGGCCCTCCAGGCCGAGAGGCAGGGCTGGAGGTGGGATGAAAACAAAAGGGGAGGAGGATCTGGCTTGAGAGGTATATAATCCTAGAACACTAGAACTGGAAGGGACCTTGAGAGATCAAGTCCAGTCCCCCGCCCTCATGGCAGGACCACGCACTGTCCAGATCATCCCTGATAAATGTCTATCTAACCTGCTCTCAGATATCTCCAGCAATATCTCCAGATATGTTGCCTCCAAGGGTGTGTCTAGACTACATGCCTCCTTCGACGGAGGCATGTAGACTAGACAGATCGACAGAGGGAAATGAAGCCACGATTTAAATAATTGCGGCTTCATTTAAATTTAAATGGCTG